TGACCCCTCTTACTACCCAGCACCCCCAGCGTGGCACACAAGAGCCAGCAGTGGCCTTGGTCACTGTAGGAATAAGTATAAGCAAGAGCCTTTCTGCATCCCAGTCCCAGGCAGTAACTGCAAACATCAGGTGTTGTCACTGCCAGTAGCACACACTGTCTGCAAATCACTGCCAGTAGCACACACTGTCTGCAAAAACATGATGCGAACTTCAGAACATGCAGCCTTTTAGAAGAGACTAAACTGAAAAGTAAAAAAATCACTAAACAGGACTGGGTTTTTAGCTAAACCCAGGACAAATACTAAGCAAAAGGAGCCACACACAAAAAAAAAAAAACACCCCCAAAACCAGCAACCCAAACAACTCTAGTCTTCAGGAATGACAAAGCATACCACTATGCTTATGAAGGAATAATCCACTGCCCAAATACTGAGCATGGATATAACTTTCTGTTGATCTGCCAGGCATCGTAGCAGGCAACAAGCCAAATGTTGGAGAGACCGTTGCCTTCTCCCTCTCCTCTTACACCCTGCTCGAGTTACACACCCAAGTGTAGAGCCTGTGAGATACCAGATGGTGTAGGAGCAATAAACTGATATGTAACTTAAGTGTGCCAAACTTGTGGCCCCTTGTTTCAAGAAAGAGATGGGCCAACTGGAGGGAAAAGAAGAATCAGCAGTCTAGAAGACATAATTTGAATTAAATGTCAAATTCTCACCCTGAGTCTATTTTACTGAGCAAGGACAGTATTATTTTATCATACCTGTAAACTATAGTATGGTTTATACAGCCTTCTCACATGTATTTATTGTAGCTGTACCCTCACTGAAGCATGGTCTTTATTTTTAGGGACTTTTTTAGGCATTTACCATGAAGTGGGCACTCTACACAGTAATGGACTACCTCTAGTCTTGACTGGCTGTAGTAACAATGTTCTTTTTGGAGACCTCAAGTCCAAGTTCTAACTTCTCTGCTCAAGTTTTTAGTTCATGACTCTCCAGCAAAGTCTTAACAGTGCAGAAAGGGGAAAATAACCTTGAAAGAGAGCAAAGGCTGAATGAAGATTTCCGTGGGCTCTTTCAGAGAGTAACAGAACTACAAATTCCTTGTGTATTTTTTTTTCTCTTATGCCATACTATTTCATCATGCATTTTCAAGAGGCATTATAATGGATGGATTAGAAGAATCTTAAATGTAATTCTTTGAATCATTGCCTTATGTTTAGCTGGAATTCATTTGTTTATAGCAGAGCAGCTGGAGTATAATATTTTGAATTGCCATGTTTGAAGCTTTTAGGTAATCAAGTGAGCAGCTGGGTGAGTCAGTGACCTGGATTAAAGGGAGGACATTTGCTTCAAGAGAGGAGAATGGGGCGTGTGGAAGATCTCACCATGGCACTTGTGGCAGAGACATAAGCAATTTCTTCTCTTTCAAGTTCTCTTAAATACATGTCAAAAATTGTTCATGTAAAAAATTAAATAATAGGTTATTATGGATGACAGCACATAATACATTTTGAAGTCTGCCACTGTATCCTGTATTCTGGAAAAAAAGAACAACCGATCTGTATACCAGCACTCGCTGTGCAAATCCAGCTCTGCAGGGAAGGAGGGCCATGCAGCAAGTCCTCCAGTAACTTTGACTCGTAACGTTTAGCCATTTGTACAGCTAACTATGTACCTCATGTCCAAAAATAAGCAAGCACAGTCCTCCAACTCGTGCTCAAGAACATAGAATCATAGAATGCAGTAAGTCTTTGGCTCTGTGCTGTCCTTGCTGCCTGTCAGTACCTGAGGCCACCGAGTACGTTCAGTTCAGCTCTGCAGAGCCAGTGGCTTGTGAAGGGTTTACGGGGTTCTTCTAATCACAGAGTAGGGGAAAAAATTCAGTATCCAAGATCTACAGCTCAGGTGTAGAAAAAATACTACATGGCATGACAAATACATTACCTTTAGCCTCAGAGACCCCTGGATCTTTGGATTTTAGTAGAGAAGTTCATGGGTTTACCTTTCCCCTTCTTTTCTCTCTGAGAAAGGATTTTTCTAATTTTACATTGTAGGTTGTTGATTACTGTGTAAACTTGTTTACACAGAAGAACATTTAACAAATATTCACCTTTGAAAACTGGAATGCGTAACTTGGCCTAGTAAGTTCTTACAGAATACAATACATGTTTATGCAAACAAAGATACATAATTATCTTAAGGGAACTCTCCATGAAGTCAAATCTACCACAAATGTTATGCATTTATAGTGACTTTTGAGAAGCTGAGAAACAGAAAGCTGAAGCAGTAAGAAAACTTGAAGTGATTCAAACACCATTAAACTCCATACTGCTTTTGAAGGATTACCTTGGTCAAAACACTTTCTATTCACTTCATAATGAACCAACTCATGCTGATTTGCTTGGAAAAGATGACGATTTTAAAAAATGGTACACTAAGCTGGTTATTACAGTAATGCCCTTCCCCCTAATGCAACACATCATGTATATTAGTTCTTTAAAAGGAAAAAGCAAGAAACAACAGCTTTAAAGTAGCTGCTTTCAACGATGCAGAAATGTTGACTCTGTTCTGACTGTATTGCTGCTACAGCACTTCTGAAGTGACGTGGGAGCTACCTGGTTATTTTTCTGTAAAAAGCAGCATGAAGGACTTTAAAGACAGAAGGGAGGTAAGTAGAAGAATCATTGGAGAAAAACAGAAGCAGGAACCAAACACTGAAATACCTTTTAGACTTAATAAGTGCTTCAGGAGGACACTAAGGATACAAGTCAAGTGTGTTGTAAGTTAAGCTGGTAATATCCCTTGATCATTTCATTAAATACTTCCATCTACGCATTGTCACCGGCATCCATATACATGAATGGTTCTCCTTTTTCCCCAAAGTTGCACTTAATGCACCTAAACAAAAGCCACAAAGCTTTAAGGTAGCAGAAGCAAAGCTTAGGTTAACCTGCTGGGGACAGCAAGCTTGTAATTGTCTAAAACCAGACCTGCGTTATTTTGAAATGTAGTTTTGAATGCTCTAAAAACAACCTTCATTTCTCAATTGCAGAGGAGATGGATTCTACACAGATTTCCCCCTCATTTAAATAGCATTTCTGTTTTCAAAGGAAAAAGATTAAAAAAGAAGAGAGAAAACAGCACTGAAGGCAGCTCAATCATCCAGAAATAGGCCATGAAAGCCACATTTAATGGAAGTCACAGTGCGTATTAGCAAGAACAGTATTGAGCTTTGGTTCAGACAAAGCTTAACCATCAGCTAGCTAACAGTTATTTGAGGTGCCTTTAGCAGGAAGCAGTTGCCACATTCAGAAAGCAGATTTCCCAGATTTCTCAATTTGGGAACAGAAAACGCAAGTTTGCAGCTACAGCCCTCGTACTTACTGTAAAAGAGACTTTTTCTGCAGCTGAGGCACCATGCTGGAGACCTACACTGTGACCCATGCAGCTATACTCATTTTTAACAGGGTTCACGTCAGTCTTCTCTTGGGAACTATTTCCAACAATAATCCGCTAGTTTTAAACACTCTCTGCTTTGCTTTAACTATAATCCCATTAATCTAAACACTAGAAGTAGTGCAAGGATTACATTCAAAACCAGGAAATTCAGAAATAAGTGGTTTATAATAAGGGCACAGGGAGATAAAAATGGAAGAGGTTTCCCCTTCTCTTTGTATTTTTTAAATTTGCTGCTTTTTCTGTTTGTCAGGTAAAGGAAGAATGAATTGATCAGCAACGTCTAAAGATTGTATCAACAGACCATTGCTATATTTTTCCTCTGACAAAAACACGTATAAAAAGCAGGTTGCTTTCAAGGAAATCCCATTAGGCACAGTATCTTCAATCCACTAGTTTCATTTAAGAACTTCCTGCAGAGCATTCTCACTCAAAATCCAACAAAGGATTTAAACCTGGTTCCTCTGCATACCATGTGCTTACTCTAAAACCTATTTGGTCATTAGTTACCATCTTTTGAAAAAAGCTGAAAAGTAATTTTAATATTGGCTAAAATTTAGAAACTTATCCCTTGTATATAAAAAAAAAAAGTTGAAATTATTATTCAATTCCTTAACAAACCTTTCCCTGGAAGAACAGCGTTAGTTGCAACACCATCCCAATTGAGTACAAAAAGAAGATGGACCAAGTGCAGCTCAGCTGTGCTTTCAGAGCGGGTCCTCTCAATAGCTCAAAGCCCGCTAGCCCTTCACAGGCCCACAAATCAAGAGGCCATTTACAGAGCCAAAAAGCACAGAAAGGTTCAGCCTATAAGCAAAGCATAATGCCACATACCACCACCATTCGCATGTAGTAACTACTGGCAAAAGAGGAACAGTTTATATCTGACTTCCTGTGATTTAATTACTGTACGTTTGCATCAGTAAAACAAGAAAATCACTTCACTGTTTGTGCCTAGAATGCCCATACCAGGTCATCACTGGGCAGCTGCTGTCAGAATGTTGCACTGGAACACTGCAATTACAGGCACCCATTTGCTTTTTACTCAGCAGGGGGTGGTGATAGTATTTTGTAAACACTGTACCCAAACAATTGAATATGCAAGGTATCCTCTCTGGAAGCTTTGTGAGTTAGGTTTAACCTGCACCAAAAAGCAGTTAGGAATCAAGAAACTGCAGTTAATGCCAAGCAGTTATCCATTGTGCTGCTCAGTTTCAGGTGTCCTTTTTGGAAGGCGCAGAAGCTGCAGAATCTCCCCAGAGGCAGCCTGTTTATTCTTGCCTTCAGTCCTCCAAGGTTTACACTTCTCTTGGCTGAGGAGTTTTCATACACCTCCCAGTGCCAGGGTCCTGCCTTCACAATCTCCACAACTTTTGACAGTATCCTTCAGAAGGTGGACATAAGCAGTCATTTAAAACAACAAGAACAAAACGAGAAAAAAAATAAGCAGGAAGCAAAAATAATGCTGAGCAAAAGGTTTACACCACAGAAGGCATCAGAATAAAGCATTCAGCATTTTACTTGTTGTCTAAACTGAGTTCTTGCAGCACAGTCTTACATACAACAGAAAGCACAGGTCTGAAATACCTTCTGTCAAAATACCAGAAGGTCAAGAAAGGCTTTAAACTGGACAATAATGAGAATGTTTACCTTAAGTAAAAGATTTTTTCAGTCAAGGATCCCATGGGAAGACTGTATGACCGATTTGCTTTCTAAAATGATTGGTGGCTCTGAGATGAGGAGATCATCCTCACCTAGTGAAGAATTCTGCTCAGTGTTCACAAAGTTAGGAATGTTAAATTTTGTAAGACAATTTTGGTCCTCCTCAAACACTTCACTGCTCTTGGGAACTTCCTGGAAGTGGGTATTACTCTCTAGACCAGAACCTCTCTGAGTTTGTTTTGCTTTGTCCAAACGTTCCACTTCATTAATACAGAAATGGAAAAGTGACTGGGATTCTTCAGCTATTTGACGAGAAAAGACCCTCTCCGACTCCAGAGGTCTTCCAAAATCTGCCACAAAGCTATTCATCCGAAATCTTTTTCCAGAAGGTTCTGCATTGCTAGGGAGGAAAAAAAAAATACAGTAAGCACAGAAGTAGAACTACTTGAGACCTTCACAGCAAATTTGGGTTCAGCAACCATTACAGTCAGGAAGAAAGGAAACCCTACAGTTTATCTAAAACAGACTTTAAAAGCTGGCACTACATAGTATCTGCTGAAGGTGTTTTAAGTCTTGATTTCTCGTGATAATTTTCCATCGGAATAAGTTATCAATGCCAGCACTGTTGAAGAGCACTTCTAGTAATCAATATACCATAATAATCTGCTCACTGAAGGAGCTTGGAAATGCTCTTCAGTATTTCCTCATCATATCAAGCAGCATAAAGTAGCAGCAAGTTTTTTTAATATGGCTTACAGAACGTCTTTGGTAGAGAAGATTGTTCCAAGCCATAGGCAGCTCTGCTGTCACTAAAAGCGTAATTTGCGCACTTGATTGTTCCGACATCAAACCATCCTTTCCACTGCTGTAGGTTAATAGTATTCAGATTTTCAGATTAGGAGAGCTGGAACTAAAGACCTGCTATAAAGACTGCCACTCTTAACAATCCAGATGCATAGATCAGGAATGACCTCTTAACATGTTTCTTGGAATTTTCTAGAACTGTTAGCTCAAACCAGCTCCAACATGCATAGACTTGTGCAGGAGCCACAAACAGATAGGGGTGAGAAAAAAATCAAGCCAAGAGGCAGTTTTACAGAGAGTAATGCATTCTTTGTATTTTATGCTGTCATCACAAAGTGTAAACTATTTGCATCTGAAAGGCAGTAGGGGTATTCAGAAGATGAGTAGTGAAAAATCTACACGTGATCTCACAATGTAAGTTTCATTAAGGAAGAATTAATAAATCACGCTGTTTACATGCCAACATGTAGCAAATGATGCTCAAGCCACATAGTTGGATACCTAAGTGCACACAGCACTTACAGAGATTTTCAGAGAAACACTATAATTTCATTCCCTCAAGCCTGCAGTAGAAGGTTAAGTACCAACACATTTCTGAAAGCTTCAGATGGCACTTTCAGAAATCTACTTCCATTACACTGAATAATCTTAGAATCATTGAGGTTAGAAAAGACCTCTGAGATCATAAGTCTAACCATCAATCCAACACAACCATGACCACTAAACCATGTCCCGAAGTGCCGCATTGACCTGCTTTTTGAACACCTCTAGGAATGCTGACTCCACCACTTCCCTGGGCAGCCTGTTCCAATGCCTCACCACTCTTCCAGTAAAGAAATTTTTCCTAATATCCAATTAAACCTCTCCTGGAGCAACTTGCGTCCATTTCCTCTTGTCCTGTCACTAGCAGCTTGGGAGCAGAGACCAACGCCCACCTCACTACAACCTCTTTTCAGGCAGTTGTAGAGAGCAAGAAGGCCTGCCCTGAGCCTCCTCCAGACAAAGCAATCCCAGTTCCCTCAGTGACTTCTCATAAAACTTGTTCTCCAGACCCCTCACCCGGACCTCAGTGTCTTTCTTATGCTGTGGTGCCCAAAACTGAACACAGTACTCAAGATTCAGCCTCACTAGTGTCAGCCTTCTTGCTCACCTGGGCACACTTGTGGCTCACGTTTAGCCGACTCCACCAGCACCTCCAGGTCCTTCTCTGCCAGGCAGCTCTCCAGCCACATCTCCCAAAGCCTGTAGCGCTGCCTGGGGTGGTGGTGATTCAAGTGCAGGACCTGGCACTTAATAAAGATATTAAACAAGACTGGCCCCAAAACGGAGCCCTAGGGAGGCTGCTTGTGACCAGCTGATAAGAGAATTCTATCTGAACAAAACCAGTTACACTCACCTTCAAATCAAAGCAGCCCTCTAGCTTGCCAAAACTGTATTGGCTCATCCTGCTTTTCAAAGTGAGGCATATAGAAGCATAATGTTTAAATTGATGCAAGACAGACCAGTACTTAAGTAATAACCTACTGTATACACACCAGGAGGCAAACAGACTAGAATAATACTGTGGTAACCTTCAGAACTGACAACTGACATTTATGTCTTTATAATGAAACAGAAAGCACCACTCCGTATTTAAGTTACATATACAGTTTTGTAAATCTGCCACCAGAGTTTCTACATAGCATTGTGGCACCGACAGATTTCTTTTGAAGAAAGCTTAAAATACATCCATTAGAGAAGTAAAACCAATTCATAGGTGTGCAAAGTGTTTTATAAGCAAAGGCTGACCGTACAGAGGGGCAACCAAGACTGGCAATGGCAACCTAATTAAATGGAAGAATAGAAGATGCAAAGAAATTTTCTAATGACCCAGGATGCTGAGGACATATGAGAGAGAATAATCCTCTGTTCACAAGTAGGGAACACATGATATAATACACAGTGGCATTTTTGGGTTCTCTTTCTGTGCTTTAGGGAGGAAAGTTGATTTTTTTTAAGAATAGACTAGAAATATGCATATTCTTGCTCACTACAGTATGCAATTATACCTCAAAATAAGAACAGTCTCAGAAATCCCAGTTTTACTGAGGAAGGAAGCACAGACACCTGGACGATCAAATCCCTTTTGCATTATTAGGGCCAACAGGACGCTCCCAGTCCCAGAAGCTGCCAACAAGAGAGCAGAACGGTGAGCGCCAGAGCATCATATGGACTGAAAACCACTCAAGCAGTTGCCAATAAAGTAACCCAAGCTTCCTCTTCTGGGAATCTTCCAGCCTACAGTTCTGGGTACTGGTTTGCTGGATTCAGCGTTAAGCTCTGGACTCTGCCCCCTGGATTCAAGTGCACTGTCAGGCTACAGACCACTTTGCCCAGTATACTCTTCTAACGGGGCATACTGGTTGACTGACACCTGAGATTCCTCTTTCTCTCAACACCCCTTCTCTCAACATTTCCTGAAGTGGCCTGGGGTACTTGGCAAACCATGGAAAGGAATCAGCTAGCCAGTCCTCCAACACGGCAGGGTTTGGCATCCCAAAGGGAACTTGAGAGACCTAAACAGATCCTCAGGACCAATGCAGAAGTGCTACTCTGAACCTGAGAAACCCCTGAACAAGTTTTCAGTAAACACACACATGTATCTGTAGAAGTTTTTGTTCCAGTGGATCTGCATTTCTCTGAATGGATCTCACTTCTGAATCCTTAACTAAAACCAGCTGATGTCCTCAAAAAACCCCCACAAACCAACCAAGCCAAAACCATCAGTCATTTCACCTTTACTACAACTGCCCCAGTAGCTGCATGAACCTTTGAGATTACATCAGTCAACATTCTGTACAGATAGGTTACATGAACACATGCATTTGTTGCATAAATATGTTTTTAAGGATGTTTTAAAATGCAAAAACAGAGTGCTACCTTCTCCAAAGTGGTGGATGAGAGAACTTTTCAGGCAGAAATTGTCAACAATTTTTTTTTCACGCAAGCTAATGTTCTACCCACACTAATATGCAAGCAAACAGAAGTGCAAAAGGCAATACTTCCATAACTAATCAATTTTCTACCTCTCCCCGTCCATATCCTGACCTGTTTCTTCAGCTCTGAGAATGTACCCATGTACCTGAACACCTTGTACAATTTGGAAAATTACATGCTATCATACCCCTTTATACTGAGCCAAGAAAAGCATACTACTAGAAAAATCAGAGTATTCTACTTTGGATGCATCCATCTGAACCCAGTTACACTTATCTCTCACATTAATGGTACTTTAAAGAACAGCCAGATAGACTTACTGAAGTCAGAGACACGTTTCTCAATCAGGCTGGCTTTCTCTCATAACTCAGGAATCCCATTAATGTCTATTTCTAACAGAGGGCTGCAACACAGCCCAGTAATGAAGTGACGAGTCATGAAGAATCCAGTCAGGCATAAAGACAGAAGGTGAAGGCAAACTAAAACCACAGTCTGTAGTGGGTTTACAAGTAGGTATTTATATTCTCCAGTTTTTATATACATGTATCAAAAACAAGAGGAAACAATAGTATTCACTGCCCTTAGCATATTCCTGGATGATGTATTCCAGTACTGTAGACACTTAAATGTTATCAAATCTCAAAAAAATAGTGCTCAAATTTGTTGAAGGTACCAACTCAGCATATATGCACAGTAAGTGGGCAAGCGTTGAAGCACTCAGCTCCTAAAGCCACACAGGAAGTTTAAAACAAACACAGAAAGGAATAACTGGTCTCTCTTCAGCAAGTGAAGAAAAATTATGTTAATATATAGATTGTAAAGACTTCTGGAGGTCTCTAGCCTAATGCCCTGACGAAGGCAAGGCCAGATGCCCTGACAAAGGCAAGGCCAACTCTGAACTCAGATCAGGTTATGTGGATGTAGAAGTTGACCAAAGGTGGAGGTTTCATAAACTCTCTAGGCCACCTGTTCCAAGAAAATTGATGCAGGAGGAAGAAAAACAGTGGGAGGCAGCAAGCAGGCCTCTGCTACCTGAAAGTACATTTTTTACAAGTGTACAAGCTTTTGACAAATACCCGTATTAAATTACCTTTGTTACATATATGACTTCGTACTTCTCCTCTCAAATTATTCATGTGGGATACAGACTCAGATGCTTAGCTAAGAAACAAGATCTCCAGGGGAAAAAAAACAGCCAACACACCAACATTTACAAGGACTTTAACTATATTTGAGTGCAAGGTCTGGCTACTTTATGGCAATCCATAAGGGAGGTAAACACACCAGCAAGTCAGTTCTGGGAAGGTGAATTCTGCCTCTATTTCCTTCTTACAGAAGGAAAAATTTAGGAGCACAGAAGAGGCCACACAGAATACATACGCCTTCTCTCATTCGGTCCTGTCTCTAGAGATGCGCTGTTACATGAGGTTTGAGAGCCAGTCTGATATGACTAAATAGGAAGCAGCAGGCAGAGATAGGCAGGCTGCTTTCAGAAGTGATAAGCACCAACAATTGCCTTCGCAATCAGCTTCTCAGCACGGCTACCTGCCTGCAAGCAATCTCACCCTCCAGAGAGGCTTTTTATTTGTACTTTATGGCATGCAAGCCTGAGAGAAGATGAGGGGTTTGAACTTCCTCAGAGGAAAGGATGCTGAGAGCCTGCATGCTGTGCAAATGCAGATAAATGGCGAACGCAAGGCATGGTCCCCAGGCACTTGTCAGCCAGAAAGAACAAGGGGAAAAAAAAAAAAAAGGTTAGTTTGTGACTTTCAGGGGACCCTGGTGTTAAACATGGAGCCGATCTGTACTTCAGCACCTGCTGGAACTTCTCAGCAGAAACTAACACATTCTGAGACTAGGGGAGCTACAGCATCAAGGCGAGATTTTGTAAATACTGCCAATATCTACTTTCTGAACTCAAAAAGAGAAACGTGGAAACCCACCGGACTTCAACTTCCTTAATTTCTGTACTGCATTTTATTTGTATATACTCTGTCAATATTCACATTTCTCTCTTCCACTCCATCGTAATGTGAGCCTACCTTGCAGAACAGCAATCTAAAGCCACGTCTTTGGCAGCCTACCCACCAACTCCCTTTTAACATGAAAACGCATGCATGCAGCTGTTCCCTTCTCTTACTGCATGCCTACAATTACTTGCTAAATAGGGAACACATTAATAACAATCTACAGAATCTACAGAACCTGTGCTTGGAACACTGATTACTTGAAAAAAAAGATAAACTGCACCCTTTGGTAAGAATGGACTAGAGCAAGAAAGTGTGGAGCCAGCGCAACATCAGCACTGTCACTGCTTGTTTGGGAACTGTAAAAGAACAGACACGCCACTTAGCAAGCTGCTTTTGTTATTCCAGTTTTCAGACTCACTCTTGATGTGGTGCTCCTGTCTTTGTCAGTAGCGTCAGGACAAAAAACATGAAGATGACAAAAACGGCAAGACCAACCCAAAATCCAATCACAATGGAATCTGGTGGAAAAGAGGAAAGAAGATGATCAGTACTTCACTTGCACAAAGTTTCCTTTCACATGCAGCATGACTGCAAATCCCAAAAGACTTTGCAGTTTATTCCCAAGTGGCAAGGAGGAGGACGATCAGATTTATCATTATCTATTTTTAAACAGAAAGCTGCCATTGAAGCTCTCATTTCTAGCTCAAATTTTACTGATATATGGACAAACCAGAAACAAGCTGGAATAGGGAAGACCCTGAATTCTCTTGGTTAGTAAAATAAGAGTACCTGCCTATGTGATACCTGGCCCATTTCCAAGCATTGCTTGGAAACAACTTCAGTGCTAGAACTCAATTATTTGGTTTTCAGCAAAAATCTCTGTCCCTGAAGAACTGAACTCCTGTTATTTTAAGTTATTTCTGCCCCAGACCATTAGATTTCTGTGTTTTGATGGACCTCCTTGGTACAATAAGTTGAAAAAGATACAGCATTCTTTCACCGGAAAGATAGAGGGCCCTGAAATAGCAGGGGGCTGGTTAGCTCAGTGGGTTGAGTGCGGTGCTGACAACAATGACAACACGCGAGGTCGTGCGTTCGATTCCTGCTCCGTCCCTAAGTGGTGCGTGGTCTAGTTGTCAGGTGGCGTCCCTGCCCATGACAGGGAGGTTGGATTAAAATGATCTCTAAGGTCCCTTCCAGCTTAGGCCATTCTATGATTCTATGAATAAATGGAACCACATATAAAAATATTTGCTGTCTTGACAAAAATCAATAATCAATATATAACAAGACATTTCTGAATAATTTTTAATTTGGGTTTCCAACTTGCATAAAGAAAACTACACTACAACGTCAGAGAAATCAAACGGATTTGGACAAAAATGTCAAACCACCAGCTAAATAAAAAGAATATACCACTGCAGTAGCCAAATATAGAAGCAATTTGGAAAAGTGTGGCTTTTTTCCTTTGTGCATAAAATGTACGTACTTTTCTCATTTATAGCAAATGCGACCAAATATAAATCACCAATCCTACTTAAAACAAATTTATGTTGATTTATGACTTCAGAGTCAATCCATAGCTGCTCCTGAAGGAAGCTCAAAGCTTCCAGGAACTTGGTTAAGAGAGGTTCAAGTGGGACAAATATTTCCAGACAACAGTCAACTGATAAGCATGGCCCAAAGTTACAGAGCACCAGCCCAAAATGTGACGTGGTCCAGGACTCACAGCGTGCAGTTACTTTTCACCTGTCATTTCAGTTAGTTATTTTTCATTTTATGCAAATACTCAAAATTTCCCCTGCAAAAGTTTAAAATACTAACATACAAACATGCAAGAGGGAAGTCTTAGTCAGGACAGGTATCCTGTCTACCCTTAACCTCTCATTACACAGCTACTATTGAACCTTGAAGATCTTCACTGGCTGTAAAACTACGTGATAATCTGTCTGGCCCCTAGGAGCAGGCCCAGCACAGAACTTCAGCCAGCTTGCTGAATCTCCTACAGGCCTGAAGATACCAGAAAAACAAGGAATCTGCTACCCTGCCTGGTGCTTGACCCCAACAGTTAATCACACTCCCGCTGTGAAGTAGCTTCCATGCTAAAAGGCATATCTGGAAACTGGAAATCAATTCAAACCATTTGCTCTTTCACTGCGAAGTCAAAGCGCCTGCTGAAACTTGAGATTTTCTTCCTTGGAACATACTTTATGACAATCAAGTCACTCCTTAATCCCTTCTTCTGGTAAACTAAGGAGGTTAACTTTCAAGTCTCCCACTGCAATGTTTATTCCTTCTCTTCTCTGGCACATCTCCCCCTCTCAACACCCTTTCTAAAATAACTAGAGGGCAGTTTGAGTACGGATCGCAGAAAATTCCTCCCCTTCTCCGTCAAATACTCCTTTTTGCTGAAAGCATATTGGTATATTTCCATAATTCCATGCATTATGAGTCCTAAATTATTTTCAGAATCATTCTATAACCTGTATTCAATATTCATCTTGTGTTTGGTATTACTAATACACACTAGTTCAGGATCATCTAACATCCTACCAGACTTCGTAGTAGTACCTGAAAATTTCATGTAAAAAGAAACACTCCCATCAAAATATATACCACTCAACAATTTGTAGCTGTTAGTTCCTACCAAATAATCAGACATGCTTCAGTGATATGCCACTGCATTCATAACAGGAACGTAAAGTTTGATCAAGATGTCTAAAAAATACACACATAAACGACATTGATCAAGCTGCAAAATTTAACTCATCAACTAAGGAAAAATAAGATAAAAACCCAAAATTCTGACAAACTGCTGTTTTTGTGATTTCCCACACAAATCAGACCTGTCAGCACTGTGTGCTGAATAGCAAACCTATCTTGTGGGGTAACATCAAACAAACCACAAGAGAATTCCTAAGTTTACTGAGCCTAAAGCTACTTATTTCTCACTTTATTGTGTCTCCTGATAACTTCCAACACTGCTATATCAATTATGTTCTTTGGATTTGTTTAAAATTAAAGCAGGGAGCATGAGTTCTCTTCATGATTTCATTTAGGTTTTGCTCATTTAAGTGCAAATTACCCAAACCTATTAACTACTAAACATTAATTCAAAGTTAACACTACATAATGCAACATTTATTCAAAAAATATGGTACAAAGGACTGCAGATTGGGAAAGTATCCCATGACTTTCCAAAGTATCATCCCTCCTTTCCTTCCTAACACAGACTCACGATCCTGGCAGCAGGTCTGACTCCTCTGATTGCTCCTACTTGTTTTACCACACTGAGGGTTTTTTTGTTCCAAAGGCACAAAAAAGGATTTTGTTTTTATCTCTGCCAGTCACAGATTTCTTTTGGCTATCTTTGCTTACTTTCTAAAGCTTGAATTTACAGAACAGCTGGTGCCTACATTTCTGGATTTTCTTATTTCTTGTTCCTGCCTTCACTTCTCAGGCAGAACAAACGTTTTGCTTGCCAAACAGCTTTTGGGGGGGTTTTGCAGCCACAGATTTGAGAAGTCACTGCAGTATTTGAACACCTCATCTTCTCCCCACCTCTCCTTTAAGAATTTTTTTAAGGGTTTTTTAGGGATTTTTGGGGGGATTCTGTTTAGTTATTTTATTAGATTGCTTTGTCAAGAGTTTTATTCATAGGCCACTTTACATAAAATTTTTCTGTGCTTTCAGAAAACAGGCTTCTGAATTCCTTTGTATATACAGTAAATTATTAGAAGCCTCCTCTTGCCTACAATTAATTACAAAAAGTGGCCTCTCCAGTTTGCACTGGTGGAATTCATCTTACATTATAGTTCAACACAGTGCCTTCTAATTTTAGGTGAAATATCTTCTGTAGCCAAAATAAATAAATAAATAAACAAACAACATCATCACAGCCCTCTAATTTTAGGAAGGGCCAGTGATGTTTTTACAGCTGGCCAAGCATCACTGTCAGCCTGCATTACCTAAGCTGGAGTCCACGCCCCTTTAAACTCTCCAACACAAGTTACAGGCATTCATTATCACCCCTTCTTTGTCAATATTCAAGGTCTCCCTCCTAACACAACCCCAGTGTAATCCCCTCTCCTTCTTCCTCCCCAGTTTAGGATTTCAGTCAAGTTAAATGTCTGACCACATCGCCTCCACATTCCTGGGCAGTCTCAACTCAGATGGAAATAGCTAGACCAAGAGACATACAAAGAACATACCATGTCAAGAAATACCATGCTGTACACAATATAGACACAGACCATTTCCTTTACTAGATTAAACTCAGCCCTCTGAGAATGCACACGATAACACCAAAGTGAAGAGAACCCGCTCCAGCCTATCAGTTAAAAAAAATCCAAGCAAACAAAACAACAAAACCAGAAGGGACTTCCTAGGTCACCAATTCAATACTGCTATTAGCCTCTTCCATAAGTACAAGCTCCCCCTGAAAAATAGTTGTTACTGCTGTCCCATTCTCTAGCAAGAGTTGTCCAGAACCCTCCTGACTCTGTGACCAGCACAGCCAGGCAGCAAAGCTGAGTTGTACCACCTAACACGGCCATTGCTTCGATTCCAATCCGAGATCTAGTTTGCCACTACACCTTTTGCAATCCAGAAGTAATGATCATTCACATTTTTTTTCTCCCACCACACCCTTTAACACACAAAGCTTAACAGCAGCATGTACATAACACTAATCTTTGTAAGCAGTAATCTTTGTAATCAGATTTGGCCTCTGATTAAGTGGAAAAAGGGAATATAAATTAAGAACATGATAAAAGCTAACCTACATTTTTCAAGTACCTCACATTTGTAAAAACACAGACAGTAATCAGCAGACTTTTTTGAGGGGAAAAAAAAAAAAAAAAGGTAAAGTACAATTCAGGCTAAAAAGCAAATTCTGCTCCATTTTTTTCTAAAGCATTAACTTCAAGATATTTCTTCTAAGAGCCTCCCCAAAATGTCCTGACTGTGCAGAGCCAAGGGAGACCAGCCTTTTTGGGCCGCTGCTTGCCACTGCAGGCACTGCTCTTTCCCAGACTAAATACTCAAGGTGACAAATGAGGCAGAAAGTATGTATCCCATCCCAGACCAGTGCTCTAGTGCTGTATGGAGACCTTGCCCCATCCTCTCACAGTGTGTCTAGCTCAGAAACAAAGAAACAAAATGGGTTGCTTAACTTTGGCAGATGAAAAATACATCCAGTAACTCCAAGTTCGTCTCTGTTACTTTTTATTTTTTTTGTTTCCCCCTCAAAACCAACTCCCCATAAAAAAAGAAACAAAAAGAAATTTCATAAAAGCCAAAGCCATTGTCTCAATTTTAGATAAATGTTGGTTCAGCTGTACTAGCTTGTCCCAGCTAGTTTTCTCTCAATTCCTACCCATATTTTCTATCTGTAACTGTTACTGTTCTCCACTTGTTACTTCAACTGTGAAACAGTTCCAGTATTAGCAGAATGTTGCACTTAGCTGATTCCTCCTATGAGGAGAGTCCCAACAATAAGAGCTTCTTCAGAGGGAGAAATCTCTTCTTCTGTTTTAAAATTTTTAAAAGCCTTAAATTTACTTCCTATGAAGAAAAACAAAAGCAGGAAGGCTGCCCACCACTGCCTTTTTAGCATTAACAGGAACATTTTTTAGCATTCATAGAAACAAGAACAAAGCAACACAGATCATAGTAAGTAGTCACCAGAAGCAGCAGTGGCTGCATTTACAGCTACAACCTGTTCCTGACAGCCTGATATTCCTCAGTATTCACAAATTTTTACCACATCCAAGAATTCCATGGTTCTCTCATGCACACAAAAAGCGATCAACAAAAAGACACAGAATAATGAACAAGTATTATAATCTAATAGAGTAATACCTCTAATTGCCAAGAATAAAAAAAAAAATAGGAGATACATACTTTTGTACAATAATCACTTACAAATGAGAAGCAGGAACGTTAAGACAGGGAAGTTCAGCTGGAATAAAATATGTCTCTAGGGAACTTACATTTATGAGCCTTCAGGCCTTCAAACGACACTGGTCCGTACTCGTAGTACTCATATTCCCAGGTGTAATCAGAGTTAGACAAGGCCTGCTGAGAGGTTCTGTTAGAAACTAGACTCAGAGCAGACATCTTGCACCTTGATAAATATATACCTGTGGATGTGAAACGAGTTAACAGAGAACACGTAATTCTAATGCACCTTCTGATTTTACAGAGAATCCTTTCTTATTTATGGGATCTCTTCTTCATTACTGTTCCCAAGAGCATCCACTCACACTTACAAAGGACCTCTCTCACCTGTTCCTTTAAAATCCAGTACCACTGCCTCACCAGACAAGGCTATTGCGTCCCCTCCCATTCCTTTCCCAGTCTTGGCTGGCCAACCACCAGTCAACACGAAGTGTCTCTTCAATGGAAGGAGAACCTACCTTCCTCTCCACAGAGATGCTGTAAGCATACAAAGTATCAAAACCAGGCTTCTAGACTGAATAAGCTTTCACAGCTCAAAAATACTAAATACCAAAGTCCACCAACCTCCTTCAGTTTTGGTATCGCCAAAAATAGAAAGACACTGGAGCGAGTCCAGTGCAAGGTGGCCAACATGGTCAGGGAGCTGAACCACAGGATGTATGAGAACCTAAGGCAACTGGGTTTGTTGAGCCTGAGGAAGAGGAGGCTCTGGGGAGACCTTAGTGCTGCCTGCAGTAAGGGTAAGAGAGGGCAGAGACAACAGAGCCACACTCTTCTCAGAAATAGAGTAAGAGGATGAGAAGCAATGTACACAAATTAGGAAACTAGAAATTTAAATTAGATACAAGGAAAAGTTTACCTGATCTAGTTGAACATGTTTTGAGCTGGTGGTTGGACCAGATGACCACCAGAGGTCCCTTCCAACCTAAATTTCTCTGTGCTAAATATGCCACTATGGAAAGAAAACAAAACAGGAGTGATTTTTGCCACAGATTACCAAGAAATGCAATGCAACCATTAAGCATCATTAAATTGTCTTGATAGATATTTCTGTCATTATCGCAACACTGAACTACAGATTTGCATTTTGCAGAGTAATTTTTTTCAGAATGTTAGACAGTTTCATGCATACCAAAATAGAACACATCTCTGCACAAAACATCTGCTGCAGCAGCTGGAGTCAGAGCATCCAACTTTTTATAAAATACTTTTTGTAAAAGCAAATTCAGCTTTGGGTAATTTTACATTCATCCAGTTCATAAAACTATTGCAATCAGTTGTTCTACAAACAATGAAACTTCACAGAGCACAAAGTCAAATCCAGATAAAATTTCTTGAAAAGAAGGGCCCTAAATACCCAAGTTACTCAACTGAAACTTCAGTCCTTCCTAAGGATAATTAGATTGACTAAGCCTATGCAACTAAAGCACATTGTTCAAGTGCTGGAGAGCCACTCATAAAGAACAAGAATCAGGCACAAAACGAGGAATACAAATTCACCCAGGGAATATGAACAGCATTTCAGATTTGTAAAGAAGTATTTTTCTGCAACTATTTTACCATGAGCAAATGCTGTCAGGAATGTCTCAAAGCAATTTAAAATAAAGTGAAGTATGCCTGAAAAAGTAACCTTCATACTCACTCGAAGTGTTCAGAATCTTAAACACATATAAAAACTCGACTTGCAAGTGATAAATCCTTTAAAACAAGAAATTGATCTATTTTTCAACAAGAACCAGCTTTGTTTTCACAATGAGCAACTTGCCAATAGGAAGGAGGCAAGGAGGTAAGAGCAGGGAGGGAAGTGATCAACTCCATTTTTGGTCAGGACAAGGAGCTTCACATTACCCTCACCCTCCTTTAGCCAATGAGAAAGCTCCCAGGGATAATAAGTAGCCTGAAGCACAGGGGAGGAAGAAAAAAGATGGCTGCAATGGACAACCCAGTTCATGGCTGAGGATGTTTCCCATCCTTTACTTCTAACCCTTTAAGAACATGAGAGAAAGAGGCAAGTCTAACTCTAAGTGCCTGTGTTAACAGTAAAGTTCCTCCTTCTCTTTCTAAGTGACTAGAAAACTTTCTTATCTCCTGGAATCAAAGGAGAATGTCTAATTAAGCTTTAGGCAGAGTTTTTATTGTTTTTAATCAACTAAAATAACCACTGTCTCTGGGAGAAGCAAACAGGACAGAGAAAACATGAAAATAGTTTCTTCTTCCACCTCAAGTGCAGGCAGATGGGATTAATTGGGCTGCATGCAGATCTCTCTCCTGATGTAGTCACTGGTGTCAGTTTGTAATTTATGGAGAGAATAGCCACTTCTAGGGCACAAAGAATCTGCCCTAGTTTAGGACTAGAAACTTCAGTATTTCACCACTGCCCACAGGCATTTCAAGACTTACTTTCACTGCAGACGAGACAATATCAGAGGGAGAGGTGCTAACTGAAACCTGGGTCACCAGATCCCAGGCCAACCTGTGCCTCGAGCTTTGTGGGACATATAACGTAGGTCTCTAAATCATTCAGTACAGCAAGCATAACCACTGTCCCCAACTAGCTTACAGCTCACTTCTAAGCTTTGTCTGTCCAAATGCCTCCAGACCCTCGGTCTGTTAAAACAAACCTTTTTGTTAAAACAAACCTTTTATTCTCCTTAAAGAGTCAGCCTAGCATGATGAGGCAAAGACCAGCACAGTGAAAGCAGTGAACATTGAGACCTTACATGTCCTGAGGAAGAGTGAAGCAGGGTGAGCTGGCATGCTGGCAGCTTGTCAGGTCCATTTGCCAGGCTGCAGTAGGTCACGGAGGGACTGCAGGTGCCAGATAAGGGCTTCAGAGTGCACTCAGGCACTTCCTGACAGAAATGGACAGCAGTGATCCATCCCACAGCTCAGCTCTGAGGCATAACAAGGGGCTCCTCTTAATTAACCTTGCTGAGGGTTTGTTTTGGTTTTTTGGGAGGAGGGGAGGCATAGGAGTTGTGTAAGGCAAATGTGAAAGCCGCTCTTTTGACTCTGATGCGTATGGATGCAGCAGCCTATCCTCACTGTTTCAATGCTCTTCAGAAGCAAGCAAGTGAGCAACAAAAAGCTTTGCTTTGATCACTCACGAAATGCCAACGCAGAGCTGTGTGTTCAGTGCTGCCAACCAGGAGATTCAGGCAGGTCAGTCTCCTGGCAACTAAAAAGGACAAGTGCTCACAGCTGCCTTTTGGTGTCTTGGGTTGCTCTCTGCAGATAAAGGGTGTCAGGAGGTACCCAGACACTCCTCATGGAAGAACTTGTGTGTAACCTGTGTAAAAGTTTGTAAAGTCACAGCTCCCCTGCCAGGGGTACTCGAGCAAGCCAATCTGATTGTTGAGCTATATTTGCATAAAATCCACATATTTGAACTAGAGCAGAAGGGCATCAAGCACTGCTACAGCTGGACTACTTGCTTCAATCCAGGCATCATTGACACACTGCACAAAGCTCACAGCCACTTACCTTTCAAAACAAGTCACTGTAAAGGCAAAACTGAGCACAGAGGGTATCTGAAGCACAACGTCATGGCTTACACCACCATTGGGGACACAAAGGCAAATCTGGTTTTGTGCACAGCTGAAACTGGCCTTATATGTAACCAGCAACAACTACCTCCAAACCTGACCTGCATGGCACAAGAATAAATCCATGTGGACTTGTTAATGTACTGTTCATTTCTGGAATAAGAGAAACTACCCATATGATAGACACAAGCAACTTGGTAAATTTCCAATCTAAAATTAAATTTATTTTGCACACACTTGCATTTCACTGATTGACATAGTGTCTAAACACTTTACAGTCTCCACAGAATATGTGAACAAACCTCTTGGCCCCTTGCAAACTGTGAAGATCCCAAAACTCAGGCAGAAATTAAAAAAAGGTAGCAACATCTCAAACTGTGAGAAGTCCTAGGCCTATTTTAGCACTACATCCTGATGTATCAGCTCTATCACCTAGGCAGTACAATTAACCCAGTTGTTGACTATGAGAAGTTAACAACTCAGGCTGTTTCCATATTCCCAAAGTCCCCACACCAGTAACATTAATTTGCATGGGGAGGAAGTGAATCAGCCACCACCATATTCCTTTTTACTCCACCCCAAGGTCTAAGAGGTGAAGATAGAGGAAAAGAAGTCAATGAGAAAAAACAAGCCCAAACTTATTTACGCTGCACTGCATCAGGTGAAAGGTAATACAGAACCCATCTTTCTACAACCCTACCACATGGTTGCTGCTTTGAACAAGCCGTATCACTCCTAAGCACCAATGAGAAAGAAGTCTGCAGGATATACTTAACCAAATGGTCCTTGCTTCTTGCTAATTCTCAGGATCCTAGACAAGCAGTATCTGAGATCAAACTCGTGGTCTTTTCAGAGTAATACACAGTCTTCCCACCTGCAATAAAAGAGGAAAGCAAGCTATACAAACAAGTGAAATTTAGCAAGAAAACCAGAAAGATGTATGGCTGTACAATTAAAAATTAGTCATACATGCTAACTTCAAGTCTACGATACCTCGGGCTTTTCTTGGAGAGAAAAGCAGGTACAAGTGTTAACAGTGGTTATGCTTGTGATTGATGCTCACAAACAGCATCATCGGCATGAGCCGTCACACTAACAAGAATGATGTTGAATTAATCACAAAAGGACTTTATAACAATGGTAAGGAAAAATGCTGGTTTTAATCACTGCTTATCCTGCTAACTAAGGATGAGAAAGAACAAAGTTACAGACATCTGTGCCTCATACTAACATATTACAAATCTTGTAACACACATTTTATTATTCTTAAAACCATTCAATGTGAACTAGACTCCAACAGTAAGGTACTTACACACCACACATAGAAATTCTCATGAAAATATCTTGTTTGCCATGTACCAACGCTCAAGATCTTGCACTGCAGGTGCTGCAGTGTAAAAGGAGGTCACAACTCCATTATATACAATTACATGTTAATGGTATATCTACTGTTTGTACTCTGTTTAAAAACGATGATGACTTTAAAGTAAAATTTAACAAATGACAGGCCAAAACAGCCCGCCAAGTATTTTCCTAAAGATAATAGTGATATATGCAAATACTAATGCTTAGCAGTTCAACTCAACAGGAGACACCTAGAAGTTAGGCAGAAACTAATATGAAATCATACCATACTATGAGTTCACAGACAACTTACAGATCTGAAAACAAGTACACTCATAAGCCTTGTCTGAGAGGACAGCTGAATTACATCAGAGAAGCTGCTTTTTCCTTTTGCTCTTAAAAAAAAAAAAAAAAGCAGCTACTGAGATTTGCTCCCAAAACACACTGAAGCAAATAGCTTAGTTTAACTCCAGTATCAAAAGCTTTAAAAACTACAGACCAAATATGCAGTCTTAAGAAACACTATTAGTTACAAAAAATAAAGATATGTTAGCCACAATGTCATTTATTTACTGCAGCTAGGGCAGAATAGCACAATCAATCCATCCTCCAGCTTCAACATACCAAGCTGAGCTTCAGTTGAGCTCAGAAAACACTTCATTTTGACATTCAGGGTGGCAAAAAGGTGATTACAACAATTCACCCTTCTACACAAATAACACATCTCAACACACACACACAAAAACAACGAAAAACCACAAACAACTTGATGGTTGTTGTAGTCACAGCATAAAACACGACTGAACTTTTAAAGTAAAGTCATCTATTTTTCAAAAGAGAAAACAAGAAGTTTAACTTTCCAAGTATTTCTTAAAGAAGTAACATTATCTTTCCCCACACATGCCTCAGCTAAATCTTCACTGAGCCTAGACCTGCACATGGCTCGTGGACACAGCTGCAGACACAGTCAGGCTGCGGTCAGAAGAGAGCCTTGGGTCTTGCTCAGCCCATTTTCCTCTCCTCACTAAAAATCAAACTCCTCCGAGATGT